ACTTCTTTTTGGATTTACTACAAATTTTGCGACAACTTTACATAAAAAAAAAGCCTAATACAAATCAATTAAAGACTAATACAAATCAACTCATAGAGTCAAAGAACATTATAATACTTAAGAAATCAAGATTGTCAGAATTATCCAATAAGTAAAGAACAACAAATACATTACATAGAAGAAAATTATAAAATCTGCCAGCTTAACCGAGGTACAGAATTTCAGCAGTGATGTAAATATACATGAAAGAATTTCGCAAATAAAAAAATTCAAAAAAGCATAATTTAAGTGCAGAGATGTAAATACATAAAAAATGGGGTGGTATGTACGAAGAGTCGGATTTTGAGGCCACCCTGCCTCGAAAAAAAATCACTAATTCCAACATAAAATATAACCGTTGAAAAATCAAATTAAAATCTTCAGAAGCCCCAGACATTTCCGCTCACATCTCTTCACTGAACCCCTCTAAAACCTAAGAAACCATAAATTACTCTGTATGTAAAACATCAAAAATCAAATTGCGCACTAAATAATTTCTCCGCCAGAACATAACTAAGACAAGAACTTCAACAAAAACTAGGCCTCCAAGCAGAAAGACAATACAAGATGCGCCCTTTCCACTCTTGAAGCACCCACTCACCATCTTCATCAATGCCGAAATCCTTATGATAGTAAGCTCTCACCTTACTCTTCACCATCTTCACAAATTCTCTGCACAATGGAATCTGCTCAAAACCAGCCCTCAAACACCTCATCTGCCATTGCTTGTACGTCTCAGGTCTCTCCCTCTCCAACCCCTCGCATGAAATCGCATTGATCAAGAACCTCCCATACATATCCCTCTCCAACAAATACCTCTGCTCATTCTCCCTCGGCACCGTTGCGTCGAGCATGTCGAACACCGCCGAGAAGTGGTACAGCACCTCTCGAAACCTTGTCATGAAGAAGGGAGCGCCGTAGCTTCCATTCACAACAACGTTGATGAACACAGCTGGGCTCAGTTCTCTAATGGCTTTCAGGACCCTATCCCTCGGACAATCAACAACTACTGTTTCATCAGCCAGGCCATGCAATCTGAACAAACTGTTTACCACGAGCATTTCATCTTCACGGAAATGGATCTCCTCAAGCTTCACTTCATTAAACTTGGCTGCAATGGCGTGGTACTCAAACGAAACTCCGAATCGCGCGGCGTAATGGGCTAACCGGCGACCGGTCTCCTCAATCCTCTCAGCCGGCCGGAAACCCGGTAGTGGATTGTCAATGCCGGTGATACGAAGCTTTGGAGGGCCGCCCGGACGCAAAGATAACATTTTTATGAAGACGGGCCATTGAAATCCGAAGAAGATGCCGAAATCAATGATGTGAACTCTTTTTGCAGTCTGAATTGTGTCCAAAATGGTCATGTTTGCATAGCTGTAGGACAATTTTCTAAAGGGGCAAGTGGCGAGATATAGCTGATAGGCTTTCAACACATCGCTTACCGTTTTTCTCTTGTTTACCAGAGAGCGGTAGACTTCACTTCCAGTTCCGGCAAGGCGGGCTTCGAGTCCGTCGGCGATGTAATGCGCCAGTCTTTGAAATGCATCGCCGTGAGGTGAGGAATGATGTCGGATTTGTCTCAGGAGATCGTTAGCTCTCTGGTTGTTTCCGGCGGTGATGGTTTGTGCGCAGTGAAGGAGAAGTGTGTTAAGGTCGACAACCTCTTCGTTCTGCCTTCTGTGTTTTGTAGACTTGTTGGTTGCCTCATTGAATATCTTCTCTCTAATGGCGCTTACAACTTGGGGGAAATCAGATCCACAGAGGAGGATGTCGTCCAAATCCTGCGGTGGAACCGCGGGCTCTTCGAAAGAAATAGCAGAGTACTTTTTTCTTCTCAAATCTCCAAAGGCTGATTCATCTCTATGGTGATGCTTTGGCCGGCGAGAGCTGTTAGTGGCTTCGCGATGGAACTTATGATCTATTTCTCCGAAATTGATGACCAATTTATCCGCACTTGGAAGAAATTTCTTCGCTTCTTCAACCCCTTTCTCGAATTGGGATGCAGGGAGAGTCTTGAAGAAAAGCTCATCGTCATTGACAGAGCTGGAGGAAGATTGGGAAGGAGAAATGAACTGGTTTTG